AGGCAAAACAATACAGTAGCAAACAGACGAAATGTTAGATAAGAGTTTGTGCCTCAGCCAGATTTTAGAAATCCCTTGAAAGGTTATGTTTCAGGTTATTTTCCCAATAAATGTCAAGATCCCTTTCATGCATTTTAGACGAGGAGGTGCCCATCCCCTGGCACACATTGAGTTCCACTATCTGGCACAAGAGCTGATCACTTTGGGACTCTCCTCAGAGTATTACATATGATGGTTGGATGGTTTTCCTGTTTCCAGCCATTGATAAGAAGCTTCAGAGTATTTATTCAGCATTTGTGGAAACTAGGCTGCTGAAATATCTGTCTTTTGTTTTTATTTAACAAGAACCTGTTTTACGTGAGAGAAAATAACAATCATTTTTGATAGACCACCTCAAGGAGGTCCCATATTACACATTGCCTTCATTCTACCTTCTTGTTCTATCCAGGTCTCCAGCTGCTTGGATCCTTCCCACCCACACTGAAGTCCATCTTCCCACTCAGTCACCAAAGTCAAATACCAATCTTTTCTAGAAGCCCAGACAGACATACCCAGAAATAATGCATTACCAGCTATCTAGATATTAATATTTCTTAATCCAGTCAATTTGATACTTAAAAATAACCATTATAGTTTATATTGTCTAATTTTTCTTGAAACATGTAAAAACCAGAATAAACAAATTTCTGTGTAATCTTAATAACAGTGGACAGTATATTATGATATGTCTTCTCAACAACCAAAAATTAACTTATACTTCTGATTAATGTTAGCTTCAAGGGCAAGTTCAAGTCAGCAGTGCTTAATATTCTCAAAAATAAAGAAAATATAGCCTTTTTATTTTTTCATAAGAAGGAGGCACTAAAAATAAACAATCCTAAAACCTGAGTAACAAACAGCTTTGGCAACATAGGGAGACCTTGTGTGGTCCCAGCTGCTCGGGAGGCTGAGGTGGGAGGATCATTTGAGCCAGGGAGGTAATGGCTGTAGTTAGCTGTGATTGCACCACTGCACTCCAGCCTGGGTGACAGAGCCAGACCCTGTCTCAAAAGCAAACAAACAAACAGAAAACTGAGTAACTTTATGTTCTCACTTTTGATTATACTTTGAATTTCAGTTTTTTTTCTAGGGGCCCTCATAAATATTCAAAATTTTTCTCATGTACAGTGATAAGATGACTAGAAAAAGAGTTGAAAATTGGGTCACCTCTGAGTTTTCCTTTGGACATTAAATGGTTGCTTCCGGTCTCCCACTAATAATCAGGAGTCATTTGCTCATTTATTTTTCTCTCATTCTCAGGTAAGCCTCTGAACATCCCCTGCAAAGCATTCTTTGGATTCAGTGGAGAGTCTGGACCGATGATCTACTGGATGAAAGGGGAAAAGTTTATTGAAGAACTGGCAGGTCACATTAGAGAAGGTGAAATAAGGTACAGCACTTGAGTTGCTCATCTTTCTTTGCTGTCTTTGCAGTTAAGCAATGAAACATCCTAGAAGGGATTCTGCTCAGGATTTTAATTGCAACTTCAAATCATTCCATTCTCTAAAAGCTAATCTTATGGAGAGACCAAGGGTGACTGCCTTAAGAAATGCCAGTGTGTAAGCTTCTAACATAAGAAGGTTTTTCTCAGATTTAAAGATTATGTCACCAGGGTATAATGACCCTCCAAAAGCTTCCTAAGCAAATTCCTTTGAGTTTCTAAAGCTAAAACCACTGGTACTCCAACTGTCACAGCAAAGGCCCAGTCTTTGAAGGTGACTCCTCAGACCACTGGGCAAATGTTCATTTTCTACCTGGAAACAGACAACCTTCATGTGTCATAAGTGTAAAGCTCCAGCAACAATGGTAAGCTGGTGCTCAGCCAAAGTAACTGTTGACTCTTGCTGAATAGTGTTTATTTTTCCCAATATCTAATGCTCATCCCGAAAATGACTGATCCTTCAATTTAGTTAATGTTTAGATCTCTTTTCACTCTCCTATTACACAGATACCTCTCTGGTTTATAGGTATCAATTGTATTGGTTTTCTAATTTTATTTAGTACTTTCTCATCTGTGTAAAAAAGATATAAAAAATATAGGTAAGCTTTCCTGCCTCACTCAGTTTGCGAGGTTTCTCTTTGGTTTCAGAGATGGTGATGTGTAGCGTATGTTCCTGATTCTGATAGGAATTGGAATTCTTCCCTCTTCACTCCCATTAAGAATCATATAGTGGAAATTAAAATTTCAGTACAACTAATGTTAAAATGTATTCTTTCAGTTTTCTTATTGAATATACAGCAGCAAAAATGAGACAAGTACACTTTGTATTATTCGCTATGCCTAAATATTATTTATAATTACTCTCATGACAATTTCTCTCTATGTGTCCACCCAATAACTCTTCTCTATGGGTTCATAACTTTGAGGGTCTGTGAACTCCCTAAGAGTCTATGTAAAATATTGACTATAGGAGCATATTTCTAGGCAAAATACACATGAGAAGGTATTTGACATCTTCAGTAATCAAGGAAATGCAAACCAAAACTACATGATACCACTTTATACTCACTAGGATGCACTAGGATGGCTATAATTTAAAAAGTCAGATTACAGGCCAAGCACAGTGACTCAAGCCTGTAATCCCAGCACTTTGGGGGACCAAGGTGAGTGGATCGCTAGGGATCAGGAGTTTGAGACTAGCCTGAACAATATGACAGAACCCTGTATCTCCCCCGAACCCCTCCAAAAATATATGTACAAAAATTTAGCCAGGCATGTTTGTGTATGCCTTGTAGTCCCAGCTACTTGCTGCTTTGGAGGTTGAGGTGAGAGGATCACTTGAGCTCAGGATGTTGGGGTTGCAGTGAGTCATGATAGTGCCACTGTACTCCAGCCTGGGTGACAGAGGAGTACTTTTTTTTTTTTGCCTCAAAAAAAAGTCATTATAACAAATGTTGGTAAGGATATGAAGAAATGGGAAACCTCATACACTGCTGGTAGGAATATCCCTTCTAGGGATATAACCAAAATAAAGCAAAACATATATCTATAAAAAACTTGTCCATGAATGTTTGTAGCAGCACTGTTCATAATAGGCAAAAATGAAAACATCCTAAATATCTGTCAACTAAGCAATGAATAAATAAAATATGATACATTCACATAGTTGAATATTACTTAACCAAAAAAAAAAATGAAATACTGACATATACTATAACATGAATGAACCTTGAAAATGTTCTCAGTGTAAGAAGCCAGGGACAAAAAAACCCCACAAATATATGATTCAATGTATATAAAATGTCCACAATAAGCAACTTTATAGAAACGGAAAGTAGCTTACTGTGAGCTTAGGGCCAGTGGGGAGGAATGGAATATGGATGTGAAAGCTAAAGTGTATGGGAGTGTTTTTGTGTGTTTGGTAGAATCCAAATAATATAAAATTCACCATTTTAAAATTTACAATTTAATGGCATTCAGTACATTCAGATTTCATACAACCACCACAACTTTTTAGGTCCAGAACATTTTCATCACTCTAAAAGGAAACATTGTACCCATTAAGCAGTATGGAGCTTCTTTATGAGGTAATGAAAATATTATAAAATTGACCATAGTGATAGTTGCACATATCTGTGAATATTCTAGAAAACAATAAATTGTATACTTTTAATGGATGCCTTATATGGTATATAAATTATATTTCAACAAAGCTGTTTTTTTTTTAAAAAAAAAAAACCTTGAAATTAGTTGCCTGACACAGAACAGATTTTCAGAAACAAATAATGGATATATTACCAGTGATTCTAAAGTATTAATTGCCATTTGAACTTTGGAGTTTCTAATTAGCAACACTTTATTAGGCAATTTCAATTTAATATTTATTTGAAATCAATACAACTGAATTCCTTTTAAATTGTTATCTAAGATAACCTAAAATGCAATTAAAAAAAGATAAATGTTTAGGATTCCTATCAATGTATCCAGGCATAAAGGACCTTATGGGTCACTTTTCATTTTACAGAACAAGAAACTGGCCCCGAAATGGATGTGTGATAGGTACACTACTACATAGTTAGTAGCAGAATTTCCATTACCAAAAAGCTCAGAGATAAGTTTCATGATCAAGGGTAGTAACTATGTGAGCCTAAGATAATCATCTCCCTTTTTGTATGTGTTACTACATGTAACTTTTAAAATAAACAGCTTTATTGGAGTATAATTGACATATAATAAATCACACAATTTAAAGTATAAAATTTGTAAGGACTGATTGATATATGTATACACCTGTGAAACCATCACCACGATGAAAATAACATATTAATCATCCTCATGTTCCCTGGTGCCCCTTTGAAATCCCTCCCTCCTGCCCTTCTCCAACAACAGGGACATTGCTGTCACTATAAATCAGTCTGCCTTGTCTAGAATTTTATACAAGTGGAATCATATAATAGGCGCTTGTTTTTCTCTGGATTATTATTTCATGTAGCACAATTATTTTGAGATTTATCCATCTTGTTATATGTGTCAATAGTTCATACCTTTTTTTATTGCCAAATAGTATTCCATTATATGACTATACAAAAATTGCTCTTCTATTCACCTATTGCTGGACATTTGGGTTGTTTCCAATTTGGACTATAATGAAGAAATCTGCTAGGAACATTCATATACATATCTTTGTATGTACATATATTTCCTTTTCTCTTGACTGAATAGCTAGACACGGAGTGCTTTAATTATACAGTAGACATATATTTAATATTTTAGTTTATTTTTAAAATGAAATTTAAATTTTTTTAAAAAATTATTTTTAGAATAATTTTTGATTTATAGGAAGATAAGAATAATATAGAGTTCCTATATACTCCATACCCAGTTTCCCCAATTATCAACATCTTACATTAATATTGCTCCATGTCTAGGTATTCAGGCAAGAGAAAAGGAAATATATGTGCATACAAAAACATGTATATGAATGGTCATAGCAGCTTTCTTCATAATAGTCCAAGTTGAAAATATTCCAAATGTGCATCAACAGGTGAATAAGTGAGGAAACTGTTGTATAGTCATATAATGGAATACTACTTGGCAATAAAAAAGGAATGAACTATTGATACATACAACAGTGTATTAATTCAAAATGAATCAGGCCAGGTGCGGTGGCTCATGCCTGTAATCTCAGCAGTTTGGGAGGCCGAAGTGGTTGGATTACTTGAGGTCAGGAGTTTGAGACTAGCCTGGACAACATGGTGAAAACCCGTCTCTACTAAAAATACAAAAATTAGCTGGGCATGGTGGCGGGTACCTGTAAGGCTGAGACAAGAGAATTGCTTGAACCTGGGAGGCAGAGGTTGCAGTGAGCCAAGAACATGCCATTCCACTCCAGTCTGGGCGACAAAAGCGAAAAACTCCATCTCAAAAAAAAGAATCAAAATTAATACATTGCTATTATATAAAGACATTTCTTTACTCATCTTTCTTTAGTTTTTGCCTACTATCCTTCTTCTTCTGCAGGATTATTTAATGTTTTAAGAATCTGCCTAATTGTATTCAAAACTGGTTATACCATTACAAAAGAAAATTGAGGCCCTGCTGTTCTCTCTGGCAGCAAATGATTAGAATTGGTGGGAGACAAAAATCCTGAACAAGCCATCATATTAGGGGCCAAATGAGTCAACCAGCTAGGGAGTGCCATAGCAAAACAACCTTTCAGGACTTGCAAAATGACATTGTTTAACTGATTTTGTTACATCCTCTTTCTACATCAACTCCCCCAGTAAAATAACTATATTAGTATTAACGGAAAGTTACAGGGATTTTATTTTGAAAATTTCATGAGACCCAACTAGCTAACTAAAATCACCTTCAGAGAAGCGCCAACAAAAAGGCAGAAATTCCCAGCCATCATAAATATACAGTCACTCATTTTGTAATATAGTCATGGGTTGCCTAATGATTGGGATACGTTGTATGCAAAATATCATTAGGTGATTTCATCATTGTGCAAACATCATCAAGTGTACATATACAAACATAGATTAAAGCCTACTGCATGCCTAGTCTCTATGGTATAGCCCATTGCTCCTAGGCTACAAACCTGTACAGCATATTATTGTACTGAATACTGTAGGTAACTGTAACACAATTATAAGTATTTGTGTATCTAAACATATCTAAACAAAGAAAAGGTACCGTAAAAATACAGTATTATAATCTTATGGGGCTACCTTTGTATATGCAGTACATCATTGACTAAAATGTAATCATTTCACTTTCACATGTCTTGTGTGATCTTTCATCTATTTGGAGGCTTGTGTGGATTCTAGAATTATTTCCATCTATAGCCATTTATGCTAATACAGGAAATAATTAACGAGGTCTTCTAGCCTCCAAAGCCAGTGTCCTTGAAACAAAGCATACAAGATTTTATACAGCACAGCAAGTTGGAACAAATCCAGCATTTTAATAGAAAAAAAATTGCTAATCATACTATTTAGGTGAACCAAAAGAAGATTCACATTTTTACATAGCCCACGTATTTTCTCCATAAGGAAGACTTCTTATGGCAGAATACTGAGGATTTTTAATTAGGGGATTCCTCTCAAAGTCATTTCTGGAAAAAAAAATTTACTTCTGGATGCATAGCCCTTATTCAGTGCTATCTCTATCTGTACAGGATACTGTTTAAAAAATACCTTAGACTAGGTAATTTATAAACAACAGAAATGTATTGCTCAAAGTTCTGGAGGCTGGGAAGTCAAGATCAAGATACCAGCAGATCCAGTGTCTGGAAAGGGCCAGTGATGGCTGGGGTAGCCCTGAAAGTCTCCAGAATGCCTTCTTTTCTTGTCTTGATGAATAGCATCCGGCTTCCTTACATCTGTAGTAATCTTATGATTAAATGTTTTCTTGGCCACACTCTTGGTGTTCTCTATTTAATACACTTTTTCATTCTTTGCAACATTGCTGGGCAGAGAATATCCAAAATCTTTAAATTGTGCTTCCCTTTTGATTTTAAATTTCATCTTGAATTCATTTTCTTCTCTCATTTTACTATAAACAACCAAGAGAAGCCATGCCACACCCTCAGTACTTTGCTTAGGGATTTCATTCTCCAAATATCCTATTGCACCACTTACAAGTTCTACCTTCCACAAAGCACTAGGACATGAACACAATTCAGCCAAGTTGTTTGCCACTTATAACAAAGATAGCCTTCACTTCAGTTTCCAAAAACGTGTTTTTCATGTAACTCTGAGCTCATATCAAAATGGCCTTTACTGTCCATATTTCTACCAATATTCTAATCATGACCACTTAAGTAATCTCTAAAGAGATTGAAGCTTTCTCTACAGTTCTCTTCTTTTGAACCCTCATGAGAATTGCTCCTTACAGTTAGTTGATATAAGGTTTTTCTAGCCTGCTCCTCCAAATTCTTCCAGCCTCTGTTCATTACCAAGTTCCAAAGCCATTCCACATTTTTGATATATATTTTTTTTTTACCACAGCAACCACTGTCAGCACCAATTTCTACCTTAGTCCATTTGGGCTTCCGTATCTTTTTTTTTTTTTTTTTTTGAAATGGAGTCTCAATGTATTGACAAGCTGGAGTGCAGTAGCAGCACAATCTCAGCTCACTGCAACCTCTGCCTCCCAAGTTCAAGCAATTCCCCTGCCTTAGCCTCCCAAGTAGCGGGAACTACAGGCATGTACCACCACACCCAGCTAACTATTTTGCACTTTTAGGAGAGACAGAGTTTCATTATGTTGGCCAGGATGGTCTCAAACTCCTGACCTCGTGATCCACCTGCCTCAGCCTCCCAAAGTACTGGGATTGCAGGCGTGAGCCACCGCACCCAGCCAACAAGATACCTTAAACGGGTAATTTATAAACAACAAAAATGTATTGCCCACAGTTCTGGAGCCTGGGAAATCCAAGATCAAGGTGCTGGCTGATTAAGTGTCTGGTGAGGGCCTGTTCCTCATAACAGGAACCTTCTACATGTCTTCACATGACAACAAGGGCATGGGAACTCATTCATGCTTCTTTTATAAGGACACTAATCACATTCATGAGTGTGGAGCCTTCATGACTCAATCCCTTCTCAAAGGCCCCACCTCTTAATACTATCACATTGGATATTAGGTGACAGCATATGAGTTTTGGGAGATCACAAACATTTATACTATAGCAAGAGCAGTGCTTTGTGCCCATTTAAAAATTGAATCATAGCTCTCATTTTGTGTGCACATTTCAAAATTACATTGTCTAACATAACTAAGCAGTGAGGCTGTAAATAAATCACTCTTGGGTAGTTGACTTGTGGAGAAGCTTCTCCAAAGGCACTGGATCTGGCAGGAGGACTAGCCCCACTGCCTAGGTTCCCAGTTTCCTGAGCAGTGGCTTGATCTTAGAAATATGTGTTACAACTTTTTATTTCTTCGTTTGCCACAGAGGAATAGAGGACTTAAAACAATACCTAAAAAAAAAAAAAAAAAAAAAAAAAGCTTAGATATTTACTGAGAGCTTGATGAGATGAAGTCACTCGGACCTCAGTAAGTATAACTCCTGTACTCAGCATTTCCCCTGCAGCTTGACTAGCATTTTAGATCAAATTCTGTCTAGGGTTTTGGAGTTCTCATTTGTTTGCTCTCTGGGTCAGTTTCACCACTGTGGTCCCTAGCCTCTCCTGATTTTCAGCCTATGGCCAAAGAACTTAGACCCCACTTTGGGCATACAGATTCCCCTTTATCTCCCTTTAAGCAGAAATTGGCGCAGTTCTCCCCTGCCTCTGTTGTTGCTAAGAGACTAAGCCACAAGGAAATCTGAACCCAAATGTGGTAACCATTCACAACTGCTAGTCTGTCCCACACAACTGCATCAAAACCCTTTCACAAACTCCAGAAGATATAATTTATAAAGATGGTAAAATAATTGTATGTGTGCAGTAACTAACATAAGATATAATTGTACAAGTTTGGTTATTTATTTCTACCATTTTAAAATCATTCCAACAATCTGCTCTCTGCCAAGCTCTACAATGTTTATTCAGAGAAGCCAAATAATTATTTTGAGGAAACCCAGTAGGAATCATAAGGGGAAGACTTCTTACTTTCTATTCTGTTAAAGCTTAATGGGAACTGCTGCAAAGGAGGATCAGCGAGTACACTCAAAGTGTCCTTTGGGGATAATGATTCTAGGAAGGTCACCTCAGTCCCATACCACTACAGAACTTCCTTCTTACAATCTTACAAGAGGCTTGAGAATTTTTTTAAAAGCATTTGCTAGTGACGTACGTACTCTACATAGCTAGTAAAAAAAAAAAAGTCAGAAAATTTGAACCAGTCCTGTTAAACAAGAAATAATAGTCTTTTAGATTGCCTACAGGATTACAAATTGCATCTGATTGTCAAAAAAGACTACATGAATTTCAAGACAATTGCTTTGTCCCAATGGAGAGTAATTTTCAATTATAAATCTCACTTTGCAAATCACCCTATCAATATCTAATGTTTTTTTCCTCAGGCAATACTACAAAACAGTTTACCAAATCTTTTCTAATTCTTGACCTGAAAAACATGTTCAATTTATCTTATGGTTTTCAGAAAAGCTTATTAAAATGCAAATAATTTTATTTACCTTCAGTTTCTGAAAGACTGCGAGCTGAATATGGTCTTTGCTTGTTTGTTTTAGTTTTGGTTTCTTCAGTGATAGTTTTCAACACTTTCTGGTCTTCTGTTTCATTCCTTTACCTTAACATCATCTCCTTGAATGAGTGAAATGCTCTAATAAAGGAGAGAATGTGATATAGGCATGAAAAACTTTCATTCTTAAAATAAGTCAAGTCTATCTTAAAGACCAAAAATAACCTAGTAATGACTCACTCTTTTTAAAAAGCAATATGGAGCTGTGAATATGTTGTTTGTCCCCAAAATACAGAGGAAATAATTGGAGTCCCAGGCAGCCCTAGGGAAAATGATGAGATGTGTTTTGGCACGTTCTCACATAATTTTTAATGTCTTGAAGCACCCCACATGTCCTTGGTTTTCCCAAAGTTGAGCTTCAAAAAAGTATTTTCCTTTCTTCCATTTTTGAAGGAGTGGTGAATAATATTCATGATTCCGGGCTTGACCTTAGCCTTGCTCTGTGCATTAAATTCTAAAAGCCTACCTAACACATGTTTGTTGTTTCTCTTCATTTCTTGAGCATACTTTAGATGCTCAGACTCAACTATATTGTGTTGGATTGTAAATTACTCAAAACACTATAATTAGTAAATAAAAATAATAATCCCAGATTCATCCTTTTATAGTACACTGCATATTACAAAAGCATTTCACATCTTAAAACATATTGGATACTCATAATAAACACCTGAGATAAATAGTATTAGCTTTATTATGCAGATAAAGAAACTGAGGTTTAAAGACTGAGGAAGAAATGCTGCCTATTACTGGTTGAGAGTTCCTGTGGGGCTAGGCTGATTCATCAAAGCTAGCAAGAATCCTCAATTGTCCAGAATGTTTTGTTGTACTTCACACTTAGGCTACAAAAAGTCAAAATCTGTCCAGGACTGAAAGACTGAAAATCAGTGTGGACTGAGAATAAGCAGCCCTGCTATTAATCAGGTTGGGAAGACAGACAGATAAAGCCAGCTGCAAAGTTAACAGAAAACACTGTTTCTCCCAAGGTCATGCAGCAGTTGTAAAATGCCATAACGGCCCCTTCCTCTTTTGAATGACTACTGCTTTCTTACCAGTTGCCCCAAACCTGCTTTGCTGCTTACATTTATTACCAGGGATACCCAACTGCTAAGCTACCCTTGTCCCATAAGAAAACTCAATCCCTAGTTAGCCCCCATTTCTTCCAATCCTGTCTCAGAAACTCCAACCAATTCAGTATTTACTCCTGCCGCCCTAAAACCTCAGAATCTTTCAGTGGAAATGTAAACATTACAAAACCGTCTTCTTTCCTTCAATCAAGGATTATTCCATAGTTACTCTGGAATGCCCCTCCACCAATGCATTGAGCCAATAAATCTGATTTTTTCAGACTCTGGGCATGATGCTGGACTTTGACCAATAATAGTTTAATAGGAAGAAAAGGAAATAACACCAAGAGAAATCTTGTTTAATTAAACATTTTGATTTTTTAAACATACCTCCAACCCTTCATATTATCAATCATCATTCCTGGACAATGATTACTCATACTCAGAATAATAATCCAGAAACTCTGCAAGATGCTTAACTATCAAAGGAGGACTCAGAATAGTTCAAGGAACCATTTACAATTAATGAAAATTGGACTTAGACATTTTATAATTATTTACCTCAATTAAGAACCCAACAGGACTTTCTATTTAATTTTCAGGTGAACAGAAAATTCAATTAGCCAGAATTTCCATCCCTAAAAAATTCCACTAACCAATATTTTACTAAAATTTCATTGCATTTGTATTTTTTTAATCTGAATGTTATGTTATCATTCCCTTCAGCATTGCTTATTTTAGTTTATGATCTTTAGGACAGCAGGGAGCACATACATGTAAATATTAGTACAATGTCTAGTAGAGCAGATTGCTGCTTACAAATAAGTACTTTTTGATAATGATGTCAGCAGAAGTACTAGTAGTGATATTGATGATATGGGTAGATATTGAAGAGTATAAACTCTCTGGTGGCAGTTCAACATCTTTATAAAAATTTCAAAGTACCATGTTCCCTGGAAGAAACTGGAAAGTAATTTGGAATCTCCCTGCTAATGAAGTATTTTACTTTTTTACTTTCTTCTTTTGTTGCGTTAGTAAAATTTATAAGAGGAAGTCAATAATGAAAGAGAATTCAAAATAGTTTGAGACAGTATTTATTAATAATCCCTAGCTTACCACAATGCCAGGCACATACAACTTTTAAAACATCTGTTTAATGGCATTGAATTGTATTAAAATGCATTAATATAATGTCTTTCTTGCATTACACACACACACACACACACACACACACACACACACACACACAGAGAGTAATTTTTGAGCAAATTTCAGTTCACAGCAAAATTTAGTGGAAAGTACAGAGTTCCCATATTACCCCCAAGACTCCCCCACTACCAATATCCAGCACCTAGTCGTGCATTTGTTGTAATCCATGGACCTACATTGGTAAATCCTGATCACCCAACGTCTGTAGTTTACATTTAGAGTTTGGAGAGTTTACTCCTAGTGTTATACATTCTATGTGTTTTAACAGATGTATGATGAAATGTATCCACCATTACAGTATCATACAGATGAGTTTCACTGCCCTAAAAATCGGTGTTCCACTTTATCCATCTCTCCCACCTCCAAAATTCTTGGCAACTCCTGATATTTTTACTGTCTCTGAAATGTTGTCTTTTCTGAAATTTCATATAGTTGAAACCATACAGTATATAGACTTTTCAGAGTGGGTACGTTCACTTAGTAATATGAATTTTAGGCTCCTACATGTCTTTTCATGACACATTACTTTTAAAAAATTGCATTCATTTCTTCAGTGCGCGTTTATTGAGTTTTCTTGATGCTGCTAGCACTTGGCTAGTTGCTGGTGACACAAAAATTAAGGCTCCAGCACACTCTAATCAAGTAGTTCCAGTATAATACCTTTTAAAGAGGCAAAGGAGATTTATTTATTTAACAAGCTTTATTTTTCACAATAGTTTTAGGATTGAAAAGAAGTTAACAGATAAAGTGCCACATTTTTTTAAAAAAGTTGAGCAGAAAGTACAGAGCACTCTCATATAGCCCCTTTGTCCCTCCTCCCAGTTTCCCCTTTTGTTAATGTCTTGCCTTAGTGTGGCACATTTATTACAATTAATGAAACACTATACATTATTATTAAAGTCCATAGTTTACATTATAGTTCATTCTTTGTGTTATATAGTTCTATAGTTTTTTGTCAAATGTGTAATATCATGTATTCACCATTACTGTATCATACAGAATAGTTTCACTGCCCTAAACATCCCAGAGCTCTGCCTATTCTCTCCCTTTCCCTTCTAAAACTTTTAGTAGCCAATGATCTTTTTACTCTCTTTATAGTTTTGCCTTTTCCTAAATGTCATATGTTTAGAGTCCTACAGTATGTAGCCTTTTCAGACTGACTTCTTTCACTTAGTATATGTATTTCAGGTTTTTCCATGGAGTTCTGTGGCTTGATGGTTAATTTCTATCAATGAATAACACTTTATTGTCTGGATGTACCACAATTGTTTGTCCATTCACCTATTGATTGACATATTGGTTGTTTCCAAGTTTTGTCAATTATAAATGAAGCTGCTATAAGCACTTGTGTGCAAGTTTTTTGTGTAGATATAAAAAGTATGATTAATGCATCATATTGTAAGACAATGTTTAGCTTTTTAGGTAACTGCCAAAATATCTTTCAAAGTGGCTGTACCATTCTGCATTCCCACCAGCAAAGGATGAGAATTTCCAGTGCTTCACATCCTTGCCAAAATTTGATGTTGTTGGTAATATTGGATTTCATTCATTCTAATAGGTGTGTAGTGTATGCCATTGCATAAATTTAAAATTCCCTAATGACATATGATGTTCAGCATATACGCAGATGCTTATATGCTATATGTGTATCTTCTTTGGTGAGGTGTCTGTTCAGAACTTTTGCCTATTTTTAAATTGGGTTGTTAGGTGTTTTTTTTAATTGTTGAGTTTTAAGAGGTTTCGTGAATTCTATATAGAAAGTCCTTAATGGGTATAGGTTTTGCGTATATTTTCCCCCATTTTGTGGCTTGTCTTTTTATTGTTTTAACAGTTTTTCAAAAAAAAGCAGATGTTTTAAATTTTAATAAAGTCCAACTTATCAATTGTTTCTTTCATGGACTACATTTTTGTTGTTGTGTCTAAAATTTTATTACTAACCACACAAATGAGGAAGAGAAAAGACTCAAATATTACCACTACAGAAATCCATCAAACCACAATATAAAAAAATAAGAGATAGGAAGGATGGATATACAAAGCAACCAGAAATTAATTATAAAATGACAGGAATAAGTCCTTACATATCAATAATAACCTTGAATGTAAACAAATTAAATCTCCCAATTAAAATATATAGATTGGCTGAATGAATTTCAAAAGTAACCTTAATATATTTTGCCTAAAAGAAACTTCACCTGTAGAGACACATATAGACTTAAAGTAAAAGGATGGAAAAAAAATGTTCCATGAAAAATGATATAGAAGGTAAGCAAAAGTGGCTATACTTATATGAGATAAAACAGACTTTAAGTCAAAAACAGGAAAAAGAGGCATAAAAAGGTCATTGTATAATGATAAAGGGATCAATTCTGTAAGGGATAGAGCAATTCCAAACATTTGTGCACCTAACACTGGAGCACCCAGTTATATAAAGCAAATATTTTTAGATCTAAAAGAAGAGATAGACATCAATACAATAATATTTTGGGACTTCAACATGCCACTCTCAGCAATAAACAAATTATCTAGCGAGAAAACAACAAAGACACATTAGATTTAAATTGTACCTTAGACCTAGTGGATCTAAGAGGCAATTGCAGAATGTTTTGTCCAGCAGCTGCAGAATATACATTCTTCTCATCAGCATATGCAACATTCTCAAGAGTACACCATATGTTAGGACACAAAATAAGGCACAACAAATTTTTAAAAATTGAAATAATATCAAATATTTTCTCAGAACACAATGGACTAAAACTAAAAATTAATAACAAGAGGAGCTTTAAAAACTAGATTAGTTCAACCATTGTGGAAGACAGTGTGGCAATTCCTCAAGGATCTAGAAGTATAAATATCAGTTGACCCAGCAATCCCATTACTGGGTATATACACAAAGGATTATAAATCAATCTATTATAAAGACACATGCACACGTATGTTCATTGTGGCACTGTTTACAACAGCAAAGACTTGAAGCCAATCCAAATGCCCCTCAAACATAGACTGGATAAAGAAAATGTGGCATGTACACACCATGCAATACTGTACAGCCATAAAAAAGGATGAGTTCATGTCCTTGGCAGGGACATGGATGAAGCTAGAAACTACCATTCTCAGAAAACTGATGCAAGAACAGAAAACCAAATACCGCATGTTCTCACTCATAAGTGGATATTGAACAATGAGAACACATGGACACAGGGAGGGGAACATCACACACTGGGGTCTGTTGTGGGGGAATAGGGGAGGTACGGGGTGTTAGGGAGTTTGGGGAGGGATAACATGGAGAGAAATGCCAGATATAGGTGACAGGGGGATCAAGGCAGCAAACCACATTGCCATGTAGGTACCTATGCAACAATCCTGCGTGTTCTGCACATGTATTCCAGAACCTAAAATATATATATATATAAAGAAAATGAAAAAAAGCTCACCATCATTGGTCATAAGAGAAATGCAAATCTAAACCACAGTGAGATACCATCTCATGCCAGTTAGAATGGCAATCATTAAAAAATCAGTAGACAACAGAGGCAGGAGAGGTTGTGCAGAAATAGGAACACTTTTACACTGTTGGTGGGAGTGTAAATTAGTTCAACCATTGTGGAAGACAATGTGGTGATTCCTCAAGGATCTAGATCTAGAAATGCCATTTGACGCAGCAATCCCATTACTGGGTATATACCCACAGCAATATAAATCATTCTGTTATAAAGACACATGCACACCTATGTTTATTGTGGCACTGTTCACAATAGCAAAGACTTGGAACCAACTCAAATACCCATCAATGATAGACTGGATAAAGAAAATGTGGCACATATACACCATGGAATACTATTCAGCCATAAAAAAGGTTGAGTTCATGTCCCTTGCAAGGACATGGATGAAGCTGGAAACATCACTTTCAGCAAACTAACACAAGAACATAAAACCAAACACATGTTCTCACTCATAAGTGGGAGCTGAACAATAAGAGCACATGAATATAGGGAGGGTAACTTCACACATTGGAGCCTGTCAGGGGTTGGGGGGCTAGGGGAGGGATAGCATTAAGAGAAATAACTAACGTAGATGACAGATTGATGGGTGCAGCAAACCACCATGGCACGTGTATACCTTTGTAACCAATCTGCACATTCTGAACATATATCCCAGAACTTAATGTATAATAATAAAATTGTTAAAAAAGATACCATCTTACGCCAGTCAGAATGGCTATTATTAAATGTAAAAAAATAGCAGATGCTGGTAGGGTTGCAGAGAAAGGAGAATGCTTGTACACTGCTGGTGGGAATATAAATTAGTTCAGTCATTATGGAAAGCAGTTTGGTGATCTCTCAAACAACTTAAAAGAGAATTATCATTCAACTCAGCAATGTCATTATTGGGTATATATCCAAAGGAATATAAATTATTCTACTATAAAGATACATGCATGGGTATGTTCACTGCAACAATATGCACAATAGCTAAGACATGGAATCAAGTTAAATGCCCATCAATGGTAGACTGGATAAATAAAATGTGGTAGATATACACTGTGGCATAGCACGTAGCCATAAAAAAGAATGAGATCATGTTCTTTGCAGCAACATGGATGGAGCTGGAAGCCATTATCCTAAATGAACTAACACAGGAACAGAAAGCCAAATACTACATGTTCTCACTTATGCGGGAGCTAAACATTGAGTACATTTTAACACAAAGAAGGAAACAACAGATACCAGGCCCTACTTGAGAGTCTTGGAAGGTGGTAGGAGGGTACTATGCTGATAACTTATGTAATAAAATAATCTGTACACCAAACCCTTGTGACATGCAATTTATAAAACAAACCTGCATATGTACCCCTGAACCTAAAATTAAAAATAATATATTTGCTAGAAAATTATGACTGCTCTGTTGAGTGATTTGTAGTCATAAACAACATTTTGATCTTTAATTCCAAAAAAAAAGCAAGTCACCTAGGTTTTTCAGGAGCTGATAATCAAGACACCTCATATATATTAATAGATGAACCAAGGATCATTTTTCAAACAACAGCCTGTGAAGAGCTGTTTTTGGAAACTGCGTTAGAAATGAAGAAGGAAAGGCTTGGTCGGGGATAACAGGATCAGCTTTCCACCCTGTACCTGGCAAAGGCTATGGTTGCCCTCCATGTGAAGCTTTAAATAAAACTGAATTTGTGGTGCCTCCTCGGCTTCTGGAACTATGGGGATTTCTTCTGCAGCAGGTTACACAGAGCTAAAATAATTTAGTGTGGTGTTATTTACCAATATCAGGGAGAAAAACAGAGAGCAAAAATCACTATAAACCATGAAAGTAGTAAATTTCCAATTTTTTCTTGGTTAGGCACATGTTGGGGGAGAAGAGAGAAAGAGAAACTATAGCTTTAGTCAGGAAAAATAAAAACAATTTATAGAAAAACTAACCGTAAGATGTGGTCTCCAAAATGCAGGTAAGAAAATTCTTCTACTTGTCTGGTTCTGCGATGGTATATAAATGTAAAGGGCTTCCGACTTTAGTATGAGAGGCTCAGATTCTAGAAACTCCATTCCACTAACCCAACTTTAAGCCATTCCTGTTCTCAAATGGGAAGTAGAAGAGATTAAGCCAAGCCAATCTTGAATGTCAGTAAATATAAATACAAATATTTTTGGAGTAGCAAAAATATAATCTAACTTCAGATAATGAAATGTTTGTATTTAATAACATACCTTTGCACGTGCATAGTGCTATTTACTTTTCAAACCACTTTAACCCATTTTACCCTCACAACAAAGTTAAAATACATATGGTAGTTATTTTCCCAGTTTAGAGATGAGTTAAATTAAGGCACCAATGAGTTAATGATTTTGTAAAGACCAAGCCTGAGCTTGTAATTGGGAGGCCTCTACTTAGAGCCCCGTTTTTTCTGAACAGTCATGTTTCCAATTTTATTCTGAATGCCAGTAAATCAGAGGGACATTCCCTGCATTTATAACCAGGAATCCAAAAAGAAGATGAGAATTACTTTTGCTTCTCCAATTTTCCATCTAAAATATTTCATGCTTAAAAAATATATGTATTTAAGAACCTACTCCAGAACTGAACTGAAGGGTTGTCATCATGTAGACTCATGATTTGCTATTTCTTTGGCCAAAGGCAGGGGAAACAAAAGAAACGTTGACAGGGTACCCACTTTCATCTCACCCAGAATGTAGATGGTGGTTGTTGAGAATATAACTTTCCAAAGAAACAGGAGGTGCACTCTCCTGGAAGTAATCCTAGTAATTCAGTCCCTCTGCAAAGAACATCTGTTCCTGGCCATACAAGGCCCTTTGCAACTTAAAAAAAAAAAAAAAAAAGCAAAGTTAGGAGAAAATGTTACAGAGGGCTTCTCCTGTGAGGGCAGAAAGCAGAGGGACAGATGGAGAGCAGTGCCTGGAGAAATCAGGGTCATGGATGTGTTAGCATTATTGAGGGATTAGGGCTCAGAGCACATGACTGCACTGTACAAAAGCCAGAAGAAAAGCATAGTAGACTTCTCACTGATGTAGGGGGATAGAAGGCCACTAAAAATCTTCGGTTTACTTCTCATAAGGCAACCACATTCAAGGTCCCCTTCTTTACTCCTTTACCTCACTACTATCAAACCTCTAACCTCTACCACAAAATCCACACTCCTACAGATATTTTCCCTTCATGCCATGATGCAAAAATCTAATATTTTTCATGATCTTAGTTTAGAACGTGGAACCCAGTGTTTCCTCTTGTTCACCACACAAGCCATGTTGACTTTATTTATCAAAGCCTGGTGGCATGTTAATATTTCTTTTTGCCGAGTGAATAATTCACTTCTTTTCCATCTGATCTTCATGTCAAGAGCCACGTTTGTGTTTTTTTGTTGAAGGTCCTGCCCATACATACACCCAGCCAGGATTCACCATGCCCACCATCAGAGACCTGTATTAGCTGTGTAACCATCTTTGCATGACTGCTTTCTGCCCAGATCAAGCCAGTTCAGCCAAGAATACTGTCTTTATTTCAGACTTCTCAAAGAGCATCTTGGAGAAAAAGAAGTTGAGTTGGCACTCATCTTTGACTCAGTGGTGGAAGCTGACCTGGCAAATTATACCTGCCATGTTGAAAACCGAAATGGACGGAAACATGCCAGTGTTCTCCTGCGTAAAAAGGGTATTTATTTTAATAACTAAAACTATGATTTGTTTAGCTATCAACAACTATTGAAGTTAGAGATATTTCCTGGCTTTATTTTACAATGTAGTATTAATTTCTATTAACCATTTTGTCTTTTTAACAAAAGATAGTTCTCTTACTGTGCATATTAGCATAAAATACCTATGATATTCAATACCATTAGGAAGTGGATAAATGAAATGGAGTATTGTTATATGTTAAATCCAGTGATATAAAGTATACCTTAGTTGTGTTAAAGTTTGATATATATTTGACATTCAATATTTTCTCCGTATTTTGCCTTCTTATAGCTAATATTGCTAAATGAAATGTAAGAGATTTTATTATTGGATGAGAAACACAGTTGTTTTTTTATTTCCTGACTAAAAAATTTAAAAAGTATTAATAATCCCATATAATATTCTTACAATTATCATAAAAATTATAAACTATATTTTATATGACCTCATATTAAAGGGTCTTTATCAAGTATATATATTTCTAAATATTTTGGCATTTATGGAGATCCCTTTCCCAAGTTAGTTCCAGACAGGTGAAAATTATATATAATGAACAAAGAAAATAAACTCTAAATTTACATATAAAGAAGATAAAAATCAGATATACTAACAATAGACAATCTCAGCAGCTAGAATAGCTTCTGAATTGGCTCCTACCTTGCTATGAGTTTTGATCGCTGCAAAAGGCGAAATACTTTCTGTATAGGTACATCTGGCAAAGGTTTTGCAAATGTAGGAGAACAAATGTTCTCAATCAGTGTTCTTGTTGCCTAGGTTTTAGAGCAATAATAGAACAGATTAAATCAGCAAGGTCACTTAGTTGTACTTCCTGGCCAGGATGGAATTTATATTTTTCAGACAGCCCTAATGCTTGACAATGACCAGCAGCTCTTGAAGAAGCAGAAAGGAATCATTATTCTGAAAATAATGCATTTATATCTCTAGCACCACTTCTTACTCCATTAGACTTGATTCTGTCTTAAAGGTGTATTTAAGTATAAAGGAATGTAATACAGAAAGAAAAGTCAGGGGACCCAGATTCAGGAGATCCTAGTTCAGTAGGACTGACTTGTCTGGTTAGACTCCCTAAATCTTAGTTTTCTTATCTTTAAAATAGGGTTAATAATATCTACCTTGCAGAGTCACTTTGCAGTTCAAATAATAATGATATGCAATGGATGTGAAATATGCCATAAACAGTCATTATTATTATACTAAACTTGGATAATTTATCCTAGGCACCACATGAAGACAAGTATTGATCATGCCCAAACACCTTGTGGCAAGGATCACTTTGTTCCTGTTCATTTCAGTCTTATTTCAGGCTTAGAGATCCTCCAACCAGAGCCTGCTGCTATATCTCTGTATCCTCACAGATACCAACTTGAGCAATGCTAGCTAGTAATAAGCACTTAGAACCCATTCTGGTCAAATAAATGGCTAAAATTTTATTTTATTATTGAAGACAAAGGTGCAGCCAGCACTATGATAGATGCTGGGGAATAGAAAGCTGAAAAAGATAGACATACCCATGTCTTCCTGGAGCTTATACTCTGGAGGAGTGAGAATGCAAAGAAAGACAAACATTAAACATTTGTTACAATTCTGCAAAAGATATATAGTGTTATAATTAAAAACCTGCTATTAGGAAAAATAATGGGGGATGTCTTATCAATCAGCCCATGTGGACAGAAATTTGAGTTTTAAAATAAATCAATTTCTCTTTAATAAGTAAAGCAACACAGAGCATTTCCTAAAAATTTCTAAAAATGTGACAGTACAAACCAAGACACACTATAACACTCTGCTATCTCCCATGGCTTCTACAAGGAAACCTGTCTAATTCAGGATAACTGACAATATTAATTCTCATCTTCAAAATATTTAAATAATGGAGTTCCCCAGGGTTCAGGGCCTCTCTTCTTACTCATTCAGTAGGTGATTTCATTCTGTCTCCATCTCATGGTTTTGATTGTCACTTATATGCTAACAATTCCCAAATTTATATCTAGCCTGGACTACTCATTGGTATATTCAATTGACTACTAAACAACTCTTCTTAGAGATCTAGTAAGCATATCAAATTTAGCTTGTCCCAAACAGGATTCCTAATTTCTCCTGCATATGAACCTGGTCCTCTAGTCCCCTTCTCCATCTGCATCACCATTCTTCTAGTTGTTCAGGCCAAAATCCTTGGAGTCATTCTTCACTTTTTATTTTCTCTACTCACATCCTATATCGAGTCCACCAGCAAATCCCCTGGCTTAACTTTCAAAGCCTATTCAGACTCTGAACACTTTTCCCACC